TATTCTTCAACTAAAGTCAAAACAAGCAATGACTTTGCAAGATTCTTATGTTGGAATTGATTTAAGTATAAAACTATGGAAAATTGACTTTCGTATCAATTTCGGTCAAATATTCAGACTTGATCCGATAGTCAAATTATGAAAATAAAAGGACTAACTTATTCTATTCGTTGAGTAGATCGTTGTAGTATATTTGAAATCTCAAAACGAATTCCAAATGAATGAGAAATTGCAGTCCAAAATTGGAAAGGAAAGAGAGGAAAACTGGCTAAGAATTATTTAACTCCGCCGCCCACCTATCATTCAATCGTTGAGTTAGTCGCTCGAGCGACACGATCTTTGTTTTTTATGCACGACGACAGCAAAGCCTGCAACTCTTTTTAAATGTTTTTGAATTTTGAGACATGTCTCTTCACTCTCAACATCTCCTTCTCTATAAAGAAAACCCTTGGAACGTCCTTTATTTTATCTCAATGATATGCAATCATAGTATAACATAAAATTTTATATTTTCTTAGCCAAAACTATGCATAAAAATTGTTTTTCCATTACATTCAAATGGAGTACATAAACCTATATTTTAGTTTGTTGTTATATTGTTTTGAAGTGCTACAAACATAAAAAGATAGTCGTTGTATCTTGGAAGTTGATTGTCATCAACTCTTGCCTCGATTTTGCTTTCACTTTCTTGGTGTTATTTTGTCCAATTTCGTTGGCCTTTTTAATATAATTTCTATGGTGCTTTGCCATTACTCTCTCTAATTTTTGTAAGGTTGATAAGTTTAGTTTTTAAAGTTTCACTCAAATCCATTTAAAACAATACCTTCTTCTCCATATTATAGTGCAAAACTTTTCGATCATTCTTAACCAGCCGCTTCGATCATTCTTAACCAGCCCCAGCATGTTCTATATGAGTCAGTTGTTCTTGCTGACAATTAAATGGTGTACAAGTATTCAATGTTTCTCCTGGAATTTTGCTGTTGTTTCGTTACGATGAAACCAATACCTCCTTTGTCCTTGAGGTTTACAGTTGTACTAGAAGTATCAAAATTCCTTTTGTTTATAATAATTTGAATTTGGTTAATTTCTTCTTATCATTATAGAGAGAATGATGTGACTCAGTCAATAAGGTTGGTTCCATAGCTTACATTTCTTTGGTCGCTAAATTTAAAGAACCAATTTGTTTTGCGTTTGACTAAATGAGCTTCTATGCCGGAAAGAATACTGCAGCAGTGCTGTTTTTCTCTAATGAACTTTAAAATGCTACAATGATCACTAAATTTTAACACATTGCACACAATACGATTCTCGCATTAAATTATTACAGGCTAAGATTATGGTTAGGGTTGGGCAAAATATCCGAACCAAACCGAACCGAATCAAGCGAGTTTTTTTATATGAAATACCCGAACGGGTATCCGAATCGAGAACCGAATGGTTTGGTTCGGTTCTCGGTTCTAGACCCAAAACCGAAGAATCGAATAAAAATCGATTTTTTTTTTTTTATATTGGATAAATTAATTTTTTTTATTTTTCTTAACAAATTAATTATTTTTTTCTTATTAAATCTTA